GGGGGAGGGTACAGCATTGGGGCCTCGGGGAAGGGGAACAGACAAGTTGCTGTCCTTTTGTTCTTCAATCTAGTTGTGGAGGACGTCGCTTTACTGGCCCATGTTGGTTTTGTGATCATTGCGCTTTTTCCGGCTGAAGCAGATCAGTTGCTGGCCATTGGACAGCAGCTCACACTGGCTGCCGGCCACTCATGGTAGCTTATGACAGCCCACTGCAGCCCCACTGCAGCCTACGTCGTCGTCCGCGACTCACGGCAGCCCAGCTTCAGGTCCAGCTGTTGTTCACCATCTTAGCTGTAGAGGGTGCAGCGTCATTGGCCCATGTGGGATCCAAATCTGCAGCCCTGCTGCTCAGAGCTTGCGCTCCCAAGCCAACTCTTAACCAACGAGCCACTTGGCCAGCCTGGTTGCCTTCTCTTATCACACATGGTGTGTGTCCTTCCAGAACCTTTTCATATATGAACATATGGGTTGGGCCTTAAAACAAAACAAAACAAAACAATGTGAACATACTATGCATTTGCTGCAACTTGTTTGTTTTTTAACCTCATAATATATCATAGGCATTTTTCCATGTCAATATATACAGATGTACATAATTTTTAAGGGTTATATAATACTACAGTGAACAGATGAATCATAGTTTATTTAAGCATTTTCCTTTTGAAGAGAAATTTACATTAATACCAGTTTTTCACTATAAAAATAGTGCTGCAGTGAACATCATTGTACATAAATCTTTGGCTCCCCTTCTAAAGGACAGATTACTAAAAGTGGAATTGCTGGCTTATAGGGAGTAGATATTAAATTTGTTCATTAAAGAGTTTAGGTAGCAAAATATCTACAGTAGTCAGAAACATAGAAATGGAAAGTAGAATGGTGGTTACCAGGGCTGGGGGGAGGGGAAAACAGAGAGTCATTCAGAGGGTATAGAGTTTCAGTTTTACAAGACAAAAAAGTTCTAGAGATCTCCACAACAATGTGAATATAGTTAACTGTAACTCAACTGTACATTTAAAAATGGATTAAGAGGGTAAATTTTATGTTATGTATTTCTTACCACAATTAAAAAATTGTTTTTAAAGAATTTAGGTTACTGCAAGAGTTTGGTATGATTGGGACCTATTTGGGAGAGATGAGGTAGATGGGTGGTGGGAAATCATAAAGGGCCTTATAAGCCTTTTTTTTTAAAGATTTTATTGGGGAATTGGGAGAGGGGGGGAATCGGGGAAGGGGAACAGACAAGTTGCTGACCTTTTTTTCTTCAGTCTAGTTGTGGAGGACGTCGCTTCTGGCCCATGTCGGTATTGTGATCATTTCGCTCTTTTTGGCTGAGGCAGATTGGTTGCTGGCCATTGGATAGCCACTCACAGTGGCTCACGGCAGCTCACGCCGGCTGCCAGTCACTTATGGTAGCTTACGGGAGCCCACTGCATCTCCATTGCAGCCTACACCATCGCCGGCGACACACAGCAGCCCAGCTCCAGGTCGAGCTGTTGTTCACCATCTTAGCTGTAGAGGGCACAGTGTCACTGGCCCATGTGGGATCCGAAACTGGCAGCCCTGCTGCTCAGAGCTCATGCTCCCAAGCCAACTCTTAATCAATGAGCCACTAGGCTGGCCCTTATAAACCATTTTAAGCAGCCAGAACTTTCTTCCTTAGGAAGTGGGGACATTTGAAGTGTTTCAAACAAGGGAATAAATTGAGCATATTTGTATTTTAGAATATTCACTCAGGCACAAAGTGGAGGACATATTGGGGCCAAAATGAGAGAGGGTGGAAGGCGGAATGAGGCAGGGTGATCACTTAGATTTGAAATAATATTGAATTAATGTAGTAGTGAGTGGAGGGGTAAATTAGATGTTAGGAAGTAGGATGGAATGACCAGTTGGAATGGGTAAAGAATAATTCCAGGAAGAGTCAGGGATAACTCCAGGTCACAAGTAGCTTGGGTGTTTAGTAGAGAGAGTGGTGCCATTAACTAAGGCAAGAAATATAATAGGAATAGAAGATTTGAGGGTAAAAAACCAAATGAGCTCATTTTGGATGTGTTCTTTTTGAGGTGTATCCAAATAGAGATATTCATTAGGTGATTGGGTATATGGGCTTAAAGCCTAGAAGAAAGGTCTAGGCTAAAGAGAGATTTAGAAAGCATTTTAGGGTATAAACAGCAGCAAAAAAACATGACCTAAATGCCAAACATTTATTACACACGTGCAAAAGCATCAGTGACCAGCATGTTAGTACATGGTCGGAAGAGGACTGAGGACAGAACTCAAGGAAGCAGTCAGCCTTTATGAGCGTTTGGAGGAAGAGCCATCAGCTCTTCTGAGAGCAGTCAGATAGAAAGAACGTGGAGGTGGTGGCATCATGGGAGCTAAGGGAAATGGTTTTAGAAGGAAGGATTGACATAGGTGGCAGATGGTGCAGCGGGATCACATATGACTGAGAAATCACCACTATTGGATTTAGAAATTAAATTCTTTGCCGTGAAGTGCTAGTAGAAATCAGATTTCAGTGAGTTGAAAAAGGAATATGAGGTGAGAAAATGAAGATAGCAATATAGACTGATTCTGCTTTAGGAGGGACACTGACGTTTATTCAATGTCTACTGGGTTTCAGGTACTGTTAACCTCAGACACGTATGACAGACTTGATTGTTCTACCTAACATTTCTTTTGGTTAAAAAATATATATTTCTTTTGCCAGAGTCATTTTCACTTTTGTGTATGTATAAGGTGTGAGTATCTGATGGTCTAATAAGGAAAGGGAACCTCTTTCACCCTTTGTGGCAAAATCCTTGTTCTTCATCCCTTAGGCATATGGAGGGACATGTTGGCACATGGATTTTTTTCCTCTACGTTATATCCTCCATCCTCTTCTAAACCCAAATAGAAGTGAGCTATTACCCCACCTTCTTTCACTCCCAGGCCCGGTATGAAAGCCAGCGGATCCAGCTGGAGTCAGAGCTGGCTGTGCAGCTGGAGCAGCGGGTGACAGAGCGGCTGGCGCAGGCTCAGGAGAGCAGCCTGCGGCAAGCAGCCTCCTTGAGGGAACATCACAGGTACTTGGCTCACTGGATGCTGCTTCTCTTCAGCCACACAGGTGTGGTTAGTGCCCTGCACATATCCTCTCGGATCCCTTTACCATTTCCTAACACACTGGCTTCCGTCAGCTAGGACCTAAGTCTGTCTGTGTGAGGGCTGCCCACAGGTGCACATAGAAAGCCAGAGTGCTTGGGAAGTTTCATCCCATAGGGAGTAGCTTTACCAGTAACTGATGGGTGCAGGAATATAAATTTTCCAGCTCCCTTGCCCCTGATTGGGACAATGCTGAGCTATGACCTACCTACACCATTTCCAGGGCTGCCCTGTAGGATTGAGCCTCCTTCCCACCTCATTCTCACTTCCTCTCACCCCCACTCCCCTGCCAGTTTTTCCTGGAAACATTTCTTAAATGAATCACTTTCCCATAAATCCCCATCTCAGTCTCTGCTTCTGGGGAACCCAACCTAAGACACCAGCTTTGTCCTTAACTCTTTCCTGAGCCCACCTGTGCCTTGCCCAGGCTGGCTGCCCTTGGCTGTCTTTCTCACATGCACATGTTCTGGCTTTTTCTCATTTAATTACTTCTGTCTCCAGATTCAGTCCTTTCTCACTGTGCCCTCTTAGGAAGCAGCTGCAGGACCTAAATGGACAGCACCAGCAGGAATTGTCCACTCAATTGTCTCAGTTCAAGGTGGAAATGGCAGAACGAGAGGAAAGGCAGCAGCAGGTGGCTCAGGACTATGAGCTTAGGTACTGGTTCCTGGAGTATCCCTTTTCAGCCTCAGTCCCTTCCCTGTGTGTAGAGCCCAAACTGGGAATGGTGAAGAGCTGCCCCCTCCATAGACTTATCTTCTTCTACATTGGCCCCCATTCCTTTCAGAATTTCTGCTGTCTGACATTCCATACTGGCTGTTCTTATTCTCCAAGTCACTTTCTCAAAGGTCCTGCATAAGCTCTTCCATCTTTTCTTCAGACTGGCCCGGGAGCAAGCACGAGTGCGGGAACTGCAGAGTGGGAACCAGCAGCTGGAGGAACAGCGGACTGAGCTGGTAGAGAGGCTACAAGCCATGCTGCAGGCCCACTGGGAGGAGGCAAACCAACTGCTGGGAACCTCCACCCTGCCTCCTAACCCCCCGGTAGGCATTGCCCCTTAAGCTAAGCTGCTCAGAGTCGTCGTGTTTACATCTGTTCTTGGAAAATCTAGCTTTCTCCCAAGGGAAGTCCTAAGTTCAGGTCCTTGGACCTGCATTAAAAAAAAAAAAAAAATTGTGGACTTTCCCAAAGAATAACTGTGTCATCAAAAGAAATCTTTTTTCCATGGCCATAGCTCACCCAGACTGTCCCCGTGGTATTGGCCTAACTCTCTTCTTGCAGCTCAAAAGGTGGTGAGGAATATGTGGTACTAGTTTTGCCAAATGGCTGTTGAATTAATTATGATGGTAAGGTCCAAAATTGTTGCCAAGCCCTGCCCTTGAGTAGGGATGGGAGTCTCACCCCTGACCCTTCTTATGTTGACATCTCCTGCTTCCTTCTTTTAATTATGCAATTTGTATTATTAGCTAAAATGTTTTTTGGAATAGATAGGAATATGCACATGGTAAGAAAAAATAATTCAAACAGTTCAAAAAGGTACACAGTATCTCCATCCCATGTCTGCACCTCAGTCTCCCTGTTCCCCTCCCCAGAACAACCACTGTTACTGGTGTCTTGAATGCCCCCCTCTCCGAATGGTAGCCTGCTATACACTGTTGTATAATTTTTTTATTTAACTGAGTGCTTATTGGTAGAACTTAACATTGTTTCCTATATTTTGCTTCTACAAACAGTGCTGCAATAAATACCATTAGTGTATATCTTTCTGCAAGTATATCTATAAAATTTCTAGAAATGGAACTGTAAGGTAAAAAAAAAAAGCATTTAAAAATTTGATAGATATTATCAAATCTTCTTTTAAGGAAGACCTACGAATTTGTAATCTTATTAAAGTGTCTGTACCATGTCTTGTCTCTTTAAATGCACTGAGCTTTGATCCTTCTTCCTGTCTCTCTCTTGTACCCAGGTCCCTACCATCAGTCCCTCCAGCCCTGGGCCTCAGGAACCAGAGAAAGGGGAGAGGAGGGTCTGGACTATGCCTCCCGTGGCTGTGGCCCTAAAGCCTGTGTTGCAGAAGAGCCGGGAAGCAAGGGACGAGCTGCCTGGAGTGCCACCTGTTCTCTGCAGCCCTTCCCCAGATCTTAGCCTCCTACTGGACCCCAGTTTCCAGAACCAGCATTCCTTCCAGCCCCTGGAGCCAAAGCCAGATCTCACTTCATCTTCAGGTAACTGGGGACAGATATCACTGGGGTTCCTCTTACATGTGTTAATTGTTTCCCTCTTTCCTGTCCGGGACTTGAGTATTTAGTTTCCCAGATGTCTTAGTGATCATAAGTTGCAAGGAGTAGAAGTCCACTCAGGCTGGTTTAATAAAAGGAGTGAGATCTCATGGAAATGTGATATAGCTGGACCTAATGAGAACTGGAGTTTGGATCCAGGAGCACTATCAGGAACTGAGGCAGCTACTCCTCCTCTCTTTGGGCCTGCATGGGCTCTTGACTCTGCCTCTCCCTGCACATCTGCTCCTTTCTCTTAGTAGACTAGCACTCTCTCTCACTCAAGGGTCTAGCTCTCATAACTTTGGTGCATGTGGGTTTGACCAACCGTGACACTGATTCCAGCCAAGACTCTAGATAACTTTACAGAGACATTGGTGTCTTTGTTTCTTAGGTTCATTTTAAAGAGAGGCGATGTGACGGGTTGGCAACCCATCCCTCAGATTGGCTAACCTTAAGAATGGTGTCCACCCCTGGTTTAGTCATCTGTAACTTAGGTAGATGGGGGTGCTCTGTGTGGTGCAAACATGACTACCCAGATTAAATTAAGAATGAGGGATGAAGTATATCACAATTTTAAATATAAAAATTATGTAATAATAAAAAAGAATGAGGGCATTTCTGATAAAGGGGCCAGAACATGTCTATAAATCCTAAACCATTCTGAATATTAAGAAGTTTTAGGTGGTATTTATTTATTCAGAGTCTGAGTACCACAACTTTCCCCTCTGTCAACACTTTTTAGAGTTCAGCTGTTTCATCTCAGTCCTCTTCAACCTTTCCCTTTCCAGCTATTTTAATTTTTCATTTTATTGTCCTTGCTGCAGTGTCCCTCTTTTACAAAGAGTGCCAAAAAAATGTATACACATTTTAAGAAAGGAAAACGGTATTAAAATTGTAATACTCAATATATACGGATAACAAAAGATGAATACAAGTCATGTTTGACTTCTGCAATTACAAGAGTTGCTCAAAGTGATTATTACCATCAGTGTCCAGATACTTCTGACTACGGTGAACTACTGCTTGAGCAATGTTGACCAGTGTTTACTTGTATACATTTTTTGGCACCCCCAGTATTTAATAGGCCTCCTCTGAGCATTTGGTGAGTTGAGTTGTGAAGGAACCCCTCCCCCTACAACATACATATGCATGTGTACACACACAGACACACACACACACACACACACACACACACACACACATTTCACTTTACAGCTGGGGCCTTCTCCTCTGCAGTTGGGGCCTTCCATCCCAATCATAGAGCAGAACGGCCATTCCCTGAGGAAGATCCTGGATCTGATGGGGATGGCTTCCTAAAGCAAGGGCTGCTACCCCCTTCTCAGATGGAGGGCCTCAAGCATTTTTTGCACCAGGTAAGAGAGGACCCACCCTTCCCACCTTATTTTCTTCTTCCCTTCCTCATTTTCTCTTTTTGCTCTAGGAGTCCAGGACTCTGGCTTCATCTCCCTTTTAGGAGTAAAGCTTTGTACCAACTTCTCACTCTCCCAGTCTGTCTTATTCCTATCTTTTAAGTCCCTTCTGGAACTTAGGTGACCAACTCTAGCTCCTACTTCCCCAGCCTCTGCTTCCCACAGGTACCTTGGTCTCTTTCTTTATCAGCCCTTGGGCAACCTTACTATTTTGTTCCCCCAGCTTCTGGAGACAGTACCCCAGAACAACGAGAACCCCTCTGTTGAGCTGTTGCCCCCTAAGTCTGGTGAGTGCCAACTCTAAAGAAGTTTGGGGCTGGGCCCCGACAAGGAGAGAGAAGGTTATCTAGGCTGGATTTTTAGGAACTATAAAGGTGATGAAGCCTAATGAAGGCCAAGTGGTAGGACCTTCTTGGCTCTTTAACCCATTTCCTGATTTTTTTATCTTTCCTTTTGCTAGGTTCCCTGACTGTCCCATCTTGGGAGGAAGCCCCTCAAGTGCCACGCCTCCCACCCCCTGTCCATAAAACTAAAGTGCCCTTAGCCATGGCGTCTAGTCTTCTCCGGGTCCATGAGCTTCCTTCAACCCATTCACAGAGCAGTGTTCCCAGCAGTGGCTCCCCAGAGAGAGGTAAACAGGTTATGGTTTACCAGGAGATAAAGAGGGAGGGTGTTGGGTGTGGAACTAAGGTCCTTCTGAATTCTTAGGGAGATGGGATGAGAGCTAGGGAGAGGGGCCCTAGGATGATGACCATTACTCATATGTTTCTCAGGTAGAGATGGGGTTGCATCCTCGAAACACCTGATGGAGGTGTCTCAGCTGTTACGACTATACCAGGCCCGGGGCTGGGAGGCACTGCCTGCTGAGGATCTGCTGCTCTACCTGAAGAAGCTGGAACACAGCGGGTACCAGCCTGGGAGGGAAGCTGGGAAGGATTAGGAAATAGAATTTGGGCTGAGGGCAGGGAAGAGAGGGGTGTGTATTGTTGATTACTGAGTACTCTTTTGTCTTTTTCTGGGAAAGAAAGTGAGGGTAAGATATAGATCAACAAGTCTCCTCTTCCTGTTTCTCACTGCTCTCTCCCTTTCTTTTCTCCTTTGGTTTTTTCTTCGCTTCCAAAAGAAGTCTCTTCTCCATGTCTTGCTACATTAGTTTTTTCCTCTTTACCCTGTAGCTCTGAACTTTGAATCCTAAGATTGTGACTACTCAGCATAACTCAGTATTTGATTCCACTAATGACTCCTCCTAACTGATCCCAGGTCTAGCTTATTGATTCTTATTCTTAAGAGACAGTTGGGGAGTAATATCTAGTGTTGGGGAGAGTGGGGGGAATTGCTCCGCCATCCTCACCCCTTGATTTGTGTGGCAGGACTGACAGCCGAGGGGATGATGTCCCCAGAAGGAACACAGACTTCCGTTTGGGTGAGATCCCTCGGAAAGAGGTGAGGGAAAGCAGGGCAGGACGAGGGGGATGGAAGGGCTCTCACTGACTCATTCCTCCAACTCCGCACACTCCCTGACTGGCTCTTTTCTCTGTTGCCTGACCCCTCCAAATCCTGTTCCCATTTTTTGTAACACATTCTCTCCCCTTTGCCTAATGATTCTGGTCCTTTCCATGCACAATGCCTTTCCTCAGTGGGGTGGAGGATGAGAGTATAGATGCTGACTTTCTCTTCTCTTGCCTTCAACTCTCAGATTACTTCCCAGGCTCTCCCTCGCCGCTTTGCCACAGCCCCTAAGACTGAAAAACCTCCGGCACGCAAGAAAAGTGGACACCCTGCGCCTAGTAGCATGAGGAGTCGGGGGGGAATCTGGAAATAAGCTCCTGGCCCTTTCTCCTTTTTGTTCTCTTCTTATTATTACTTTAATAAATGCTCAGTAGTCTGTATTAGAGTCTCTGACGCGTAGGAAGTTGGTAAATGGAGGTTTTGTAGGAAACTATGTAAAGAAACCTCATTTTATTCTGTATGAGTATGTTTTTTATATGTTATATGTTTCTATTTTATATTCTGTGGAAAAAGACATGGAGACAGTCTGTGGCTAGGTTGGAGAAGTTTTAGTGAGCTAAAGTTCAGTGTTTTAAGAGTAAAACCCTCAGAGTGATTAGCTCTGGTTGGTAGTGTAATTATGGATGATTTTTATTTTCTTTATACATTCCTGTATTTTCCATATTTTCTAAAACAAGTATGTATTAATAATCAGAAAAAAATCCAACTTAATAAAAGAGTAAGTTATATAAAGAGTGAGTAAAAGTTTGATTGTTGGGGAGACAATTTTCTCTTTTAAGAGCAGATCATTATATTAGATTGCATTAATAGGGTTCTGATTGACAGATTCTGCTCCAGCCAGCAGACATATTATGACTGTAATCTTCATATGGCTTTAAAACATGTATAAAAGACTAGAGTGTGGCAAGAAAAATAAAATCCATGATTACAAAAACTTCCATCCTAATACCAAAATGAACAAAGAGAAACGATATTAGAGACGAAAATGACATCTTTGTGAAACTAAGAAAAGCCCCAACTTCACAGTATAAACACTGAAAAACACACTGTACAATTTAGATTATACTGAAGGGTGATGCCTTCGATTCATACACAGCTTTTCAGCTCTGGAGCACAGTGCAGGGCAGTGATGGTGGTAAAAACAATTCTGAAAGGCCTGGTCCTAGATGCGTGGTTGAGGTAGAGTATTTACTAGATTCTATGAGGCCCTTCTATTTGCCCATGGGTTATTTGATTAGATCCAGAATAGACATAAGACATAGACTCACATAGTATTCCATGTTAATAAATTGTTTAGGTCTTATTTCTTTCCACCTAAAGGTAACTTTCTAGCCCTGGAGGAGGGGAAAGGAAGAAAAGATAAACACACATGATCAGCAGGTGTGCGGGTTCTCCTGCCTCAACTCTGGGCAGGGCAGCTTGGTCATCAGCCTCAGGACTGTTTGGTCATCAGGACAGCTCTTGCTGGCAAAGAAACAAGAGGCAGACTCATGCAGGAGCAGTACCAGGCTCTGGGGACTTTACAAGCTCTATCTCTTCAGCCACTTGTGGAAATGTTTGCTTTTCTACTTTTTACCTCAAGCGTATAAACTTGATTTGATCAAACTCTGACTTATGGCACACTATCATTATTGGTAGGAGAGGATTTTATACCATTTTTTAAAGCCAGCAAATAAACACCCAGTCTTATTATCTCTTGGATTCCAGCTTGCCACCATCAGTCTATGTCCTACATTTTTCTTAACATGAAAACGGTCTGGAGAATATTTCCCAACTCTCTGGAACAAAATCAGAAAAGAGCACAGTGCTGACTTAACCATTTTGTGAGCTAAGTATAGTAAGACAACTTTGATTTTTAAAAAAATATATTGTACTTACATTAAAAGTCTGCTTCTTCACCAAAGACCACCAAGGAGGCTGGGCAGAAGGAGAAAACCCACAGTTGAGCAGCCCCACAGTTTTTTCCTCTAAAATCATCTTGGGAATATTCTGAGAGAGGAAAAATGTTCAAAGATTTGGGAGCTCTATAAAAGCCCACATGCAGAAGAGGTGGGTGCATCTTTTAAGCTCAAGTTTCATTTGATGTAGACAGGGTGTGATATGGGACTTTGACTCCTGAGAACTCTCACAGCTATTTGGTGTTGGTGGGGGAGGTTCTGGTTGTTAAATATGTAAGGGTGAAGACTAAGCTGTTATAACAAAGAAACCCAATGGTACAATGGCTTTTGGGCAGTTTATTTCCTAGGTCATGGTTCCAGAGCAGTGGGGTGTCCTGCTGCATATGGTCACCTAGGGTCTCAGGTTCCTTCCATCTTGTTCTGCTATCCCCTAGATCAGTGTCGTTATTTATGTGGTTGATGCAAGATCATTGTCATGTAGAACTCTCAGCTGGCAAGAAAGGGAAAGAGCCATGTCCAATGTCTTAAGACTCGTACTTGGAAATGCCGCATATCAATTTTGCTTGTAGTTCGTTGACAAGACCTTGGTCACATGGCCACATCTGACTGCAAGAGAGATGAGGAAATGTACATCTACATGTATTTCCATAGCTATCTGTACATTTACATACCCCCTAGCAACACCCCTATATTTTCCTAGGATTGCTCTAACAAATTCCCACAAACTGGGTGACATTACACAGCAACGGAAATTTATTCTCACAGTTCTGAAGGCAAGAAGTCTGAAACCAAGGTGTTGACAGGGCCATGCTCTCTGAAAGCTCTAAGGGAGGATCCTTCCTTGCCTCCTCCTAGCTTCTGCCAGTGCTTACCAGCGATCCTTGACATTGCTTGGCTTGTAGACACATCACTCCAGTCTCTGCCTCCGTTGCCACATAGGGTTTTCTCTGTCCCCCAGTGTTTTCACATAGCCTTTTTATAAGGCCATTAATCACTGGATTTAGGGTTCATAATCCAGTATGACCTGGCGTTAGCTGATTACATCTGCAAAGACCCTACTTGCAAATAAGGTCACATTCAGGGGTATAAGGAAGGGGGGTAGGACTTCAATATAGATTTTGGGGGGATACAGTTCAATCCATAATAACTCCATTAAAAATGAACATACTGGGCCGGCCGAGTGGCGCGATGGTTAAGCGCTGGTTTGGGACGCCAGAGGGCCCCGGTTTGGATCCCACATATGAGGGTCAGTGACACTGCCCTCCACAGCTACGATGCTGGACAACAGCTCAACCTGGAGCTGGGCTGCCGTGAGTCACTGGCGACGGCATAGGCTGCAGCCCCTGTGGCAGTGGGTTGCCACGGGCTACAAAGTGTAACCAGCAGCCAGCGTGAGCAGCCAGCCGCTGCAGTGAGCGACCGTCCAGAAGCCGGCGACTGATCTACCTCACCCGGGAAGAGTGCAATGATGGTGCCAACTTGGGCCAGTGAAGCAACGTCCTCCACAACTAGACTGAAGAACAAAAGGACAGCAACTTGT